CCCCCACAGGGCTGTAGGCTCCATAGGAGTGTTAAAATGTGTTTGTCTTGTTGTGTTATTGGGAGCCAGAATAGAAGGAGTCATGGCTCAAAACCAGTCGCCACTGCCCGTCAACAAAAACAAAGACAACTATGGTTAAATGTGATAAGACCAAAGGACTGGACGGAGGCCAGATCCTCCTTTGGTGTCTTGAACTCGATGTCGGTCACTCGACCTTCATCAGGCAGACAGTTTTGTTACAAAGAGAAGCCGTCTTAAGCAGGAGTGTGAGTTTGCAGTCACATTAGTCCCATTACCCACGTGCATAAATACCAAACATCAATCTGTGTAACAATCAACAGTATTATTCAGAGAGATAAAGGAATAAAGAAGTAAAGATTAACAACTGCCTATTGACGATCACTAACATACCCCAAAAAGTTTACATTGGATAAGTACGTTGTTAAGAATAAATGCTTAAGTCCTTTTTGTTAAATTGCATTCTCTAAAAATATATATACATTTCCAAATCTTGCAGGTAGAAAATGAACCTGTAGGGGCATGTTTAGAGAGAGAGTGAGCATCAATACACAAATAGGACACTTGATATTAAATACAACAAAGCCTGTCGCAAAACATGTCACAGGGTGAAAATTACATCAAAATATACAAGTCAAGTTACCCTCCGTTCAGTTCTGATTTTGCTTTTCTCTTCTCGTTCATTGGAGGGAATGTACAGTAATTTTGCCCCCTTACTTACATTACTAAAACATTACATCACTCAATAATCACTGACAAAAATAATAATGATACTCAGAGTGAGATATCCCAGCTTTACATGTATTCATAAGTATCTCAGTATCCCTGAGATGTCCCGGCTCTAAGAATAGATAAATCATCAGTATCCGTCGTGTCTGGATTCGGAGGAGTTTTGCTGTTAATAAAAGCTCCTGTGAAGGTGTCAGAGGTGAGATCCTCCATCTGAAACTGTGATATGCTCCCGCTGCATTTGCATAATATTTGCACATCCATTTCGCACAGCATCA